GAGCAGCGTAAACAACAACAACAACTATTTCACACTTGTAAACAATCACACCGAGCAGCGTAAACAACAACAACTATTTCACAGTTGTAGACAATCACCGATCAGCGTAAACAACAACAACTATTTCACAGTTGTAGACAATCACCGATCAGCGTAAACAACAACTATTTCACAGTTGTAAACAATCACCAAGCAACATAAACAACCATAAGTATTTCACAGTTGTAAACAACTGTCAAACGACATAGATAACAAAGATTACCTGAAGTGTAAAACCAAAAGACCCTTGTTTTCTCTCAACAATAATGGTTCGTCTTCTTTTGTCCTCTTCAGGCTGTGTGATGATTACTCTATCCTTCTGTACACGTTCCAGGATTTGATGCTAATTGAGAATGGTGTAATACTGATTATCATATTACAAGAAAGATAAACTTATGAAAGTACCAACCTACATTAAGATAACTAAATAAATATGGTTTCATGAAATGCTTTTTTTTTTAGTAGTAAAAATGGTACCCATCAATAAGTTATATAGTAACTGCTAAGCTTAGATAAAAATGAAAAAATATGAAATAACTTTTATAATTAATTCTAAAATTAAAGCTATAAAGTTAGATGTATTAAATGGTATTTAACAAACTTACTTAGAACTAATTAGACAAAAAAAAAATGGAAGTACACAATAATATATTCATTCATCAGGGTTTAAAATGTCACACTACAGCAAGGTAAAATTTGAAAAATTCACAATTTAAGTTTGAGACAATTAACTATGTATAACTTAAAGTACATTTGTCAAATGATAGCAATGCTTAGCATATGTACTTTCACAGTTTTTGTGCTCTCTAGCGGCTACACGTAATCAACTACAATAGTCAAGTCAAAGTGAAGAATTACATATGGTTATGTAAGAAATAAAATTACACTGATTTTTAAGTCATATTTGTGCATTATATTAATCACAATCATACTCTACAAAAGCATATGGCTTTAGAGATTTTCATCTTTTACAAACCTTGTTATGAAAAATATACATACAAAAGTAGTATTGAAAACACTCATTCTCTTTTACATTACAATTAAATTACAACAATCAAGATTTTTATGCTGCTAAGAGAAGGAGTAAATGACAAGATATGGTGTAGTTATTCCAAAATTTTCTTATAGTAATGCCCCCTATGGTAACTAGAGCTGGACTGTATATTCATGGACACCTTCCATTTACACAGTTTTATACTAGTGCAAAGTATTATGCATACAGGTCCATAATATCAAGTGAGAAGATAAAAGCCAATTACTTAAAAAAAAAATTATCTGTGACATCTCTATGTATGATAGATCAAGACTGGTGTAACTAAGATGTTACATTCCTATTAATATAAATTAGTATAACAACACTTTTTTCACCATTAGCTATTAAAAAAAATATATACCAGATTTTATTAAAATGGGTTGAACTGTGTATGGTCAAGGTTTTGTATCCAAGTTATTACCACAATCTAACTAAAACAGCACACCATTTTGAAAAAAAATTCAGTTTTACATTTAGCTATAAATAAAAAAAAACGAGGTACCATTTAATGTGGATTAAATTCTACATCACAGAGCATTGAACATCAGTAGTACGAGAGTTACATAACAATAAAAAAATAATTTGGATTGGTTAGCTAAAAATAATAAAATAATATGGATGAGTAATTACAAGCTAAGCCTATACTGGTCGTTATAACGTGATCATTGAGGTCCATAAAATGTCATCGCGAAACAAGCGGAGTTGCGCTAAAAATCGGGGTTCAAACTGACTCAAAATATTAAAAGTTATTAGTGTGTAAACTATAACGAGGTCGGTCCAAGGGACCGAACCCGTGTCAAAAGAGTTAATGACCCATTGCGTTATATACGAATTCGTGTCAAATCGGGGGTTTCACTATACTAAACAAATTTGGAGAGTAATGGTAAGAATTTTAGATTGTCTATTAGCTTTCCCTTGTGGGTTGCTGGTAAGTTTGTGGACTTTCAATGCTAAAAATCTGGGGTTTGATTCCCTGTAGTTAACAAATTGTATATAGCCTATTTTATAGCTTTGCAAACAAACAAACAAATTAGGCTACACTGTACCACTATTAAAAGCGATTATCTTGATTCTCTGATAAAGTTTTCCACTGTATAATAATTACATTTTCAATTTAATAATCGCTTGTTTCGCGATGACATTTTATGGACCTCAATGATCACGTTATAACGAGGCTACACTGTACCACTATTAAAAGCGATTATCTTGATTCTCTGATAAAGTTTTCCACTGTATAATAATTACATTTTCAATTTAATAACATATTTGATTTTGTGTTGGTCAGTCACTAAGCATATTCTGTTTATTTGGGCTAGGTGTACAATTTGCTTTTTCATTGACTGACAATCGATTTATAATTGTACTGATTTATTCTTTAAAACACAGAATTCTGATAAAACTAGTCTGAGAAATATCAAGATAAGGCCAGACAAACAAAAACAAAGATAGGTATAAAACAGTTATGATAAATCAACTTACATACACATGTATACTTTAAGAAGTCATGATATGCATTCAGAAGAATTTCAGATGCTTTTAATAATTATCATCTGGAAAATCATCCAAGAAGTGTTAAGTCAAATGCAACATTCCAAAAGCGTAATAACTGTCAATTTTACTAACTGGCTTTTCATTAAACAATAAAAAGTCTGCTTCATTAGATATGTCTTCTTTTTCTTCTTCTTTCTTTCATTCATTGTTAGTTCCCCAAGGGGGGGGGGGGGAGAAGGGCCACCAGGAAGGGGTCACCTGTTTTAACCACTTGCACCACTATACAGTAGCGTGTTGTCTGTCAGTAAGTAGATACAAAAATGACAACACACGAGGAATGCTTAACGATGCACCTTGTACTGTCATAACTTTTGTAAAATGTGCGCATGCCATGAATGACGAGAACAATTAGGCACTCTGTAAGCTACAACACAGCATTACATATCAACTTCAAATGCAAAAAAAAATATTTGTTACTCTTAATTTTGGTTTTAGTCAGGATCAGTACAAGTAGTAACAGTAAGCAAGGTGAAGTTCTCTTGTCCAGATCTGCTGATGTAATGTAGGTGCAAAACTGACACTTCAAAATGCATTTTATAGTTTAGTATTCTCTAAATGTCATGTCACGCTTTCGAAATAGAACACCACCAAAGCATTCTCAGCTTATGCAATAATTTTTTTTTTTTTAGACTTACCACTTGCTAAGCTTAGCTGTTAGCTTACCTATTACATGCTAATGTTTTAAAAATAAAATATAAGCTTGGGCTCAATCGAAACATCACTCGGAAGTGATAGTAGAAGTACACATATATTTGATGAGATTTGGCAATTCACCTGTAGCGATGAACATGCATTATTACGCACACAAATAGATCCGGTAAACTTTGTAAATACTCCATTTTTTACTCTTTTCAATAAAATTATTGTGCTATGATCATGTTTCACCTATTCAAAACTCTAATGTAAACAATCCTTTGGCAGTAATCAGCAGGTGTATGAAGTAACCGATCCAATCATCCGAATTCCGTCCTTCTTGACATACCCTTTTCGTGAATTACGCATGTTAAGCAAAATATTTTAGGTAATATTACTCTTATTTTTTGGCTATAATAGCAATTCAATATTGTCCATTTCATTTCGTGAAGGTAATTTATTTTGTGCACGTGTTGTGATTTAAAATTACAAACCAGGCCTAATTAAAAAAAAAGCTGGCAAAAAAAAATTATATCTGTAACACTTACTCATTAATGTGAAGGATGCAATTATTTTTCTGGCACAATTGAAAAATATGTGGTACCATTTTTATCAATTTGAAGGGAAGAAAATACTAGTGAGTCTATAACTGAGGAGAATAGTATGTATATGTACGAGGAAATCTCAGGTAGGGCTTATTACAAATTTTATAATTTCTTGTATTAATTGTGTTGTGTACCACAGACATTAATTCCACGTACCACCAGTGGTACCAGTTTGAGAATCCCCGCTTTAAACCATCAGCATACATTAGGTATCCGATATCAGCTGCTGCCATCTAGGCCTTCTTTCAGTACAAAAGCAAATTCAAACATATATAAATTCCAATCAATCATATTTATCACAAGACAAATATAATTTATTATAAACACCAGCCAAAGGCGTTCACACCATAAAAACTGTTGTACAAAATTTTAGTTGGAAAGCTGTATTATATACTCTTTATCACTAAAATCTCAGCAAAATAAGATGTGATTAAAATAATGATCAGCTCTTCTGTGATATTAATATCACA